GCTTTAGTATCGTTTTTAGGTCAAAATCAATTTAATCCTTTTAATTCCCATAGTTTTATGGCATAAAACAACTTAATTGCTCTTTTATTTCGAAAATCTCTTTATTTCGGCAGCCATTTTGTCGTTTTTACATAGCTTTTGATCTGACGGCTAGCCTTTTCCATTATTCCTGCTAGCCGTCAATTGACGGCTATTTTTGACGGCTAGCGGGAAACCGTGATTGTTGTGGTTGTTTCGAATTTTAAAAAAGGCTAGCCGTCAGGGGCCAGTTTCATCAAAAAACTTAAGTCTAACTTAAGTAAAACTTAAGTCAAAGAAGATAAAAAATCGCGTTTCATCAAAGAACTAAAGTACGATTTTCGACTTAAGTCAGACTTAATATTTTGCTTAACTTAGGAGAACAAATAGGTACCCTAAGTATGACTTAAGTCAAAAANAAAAATTGATCTTAGCTAACAGAAAACGTTATTTCCTTGTAAAAGTCTTTAAAAAAGGAAAAATAAAATGGCGGATAAAATTTCAAATACGTAAATAAAAAACAAACGAAGTTCTAGAGCAAACGAGTGTCAAATCTAGAATAAGTGTATGGAAAACAGATCGTGAATTTTTTACTGGGTAGTGAAGATGCAATGCCTTGATTGCTCCATTTTTGTTATGAAATCTGGTGAAACTCTTTCAACGCGAAAAAGTCAGTGTTTCAGCAAAAATTCGAAGTAGCAAAAGCTATGAGTACACTTTCCTAAGCTGAAATTTATTTTTTACGGAGTGTATCCATGGAAAATTAAGGTGTATTCCTAAAATACATAATGCATATGCACTTTACTCTCGCTTGGTGCGCTCCTTCTTGAAAACAGTGTACAAAACTTCGAACAGTATGCTCAAATTGCTTAAACTTATAGAAGTATGAATTTCTATGGATGAACCTGTCTGCCATGATTGAAAAAAACTACTCCTCCAAGAGCGATGAAGCTGTTTGAAGCTGTAGAGCTGTGGGAATGGAAGGAAATAGATTGATTTTAACCAGGAGACGATATTATAACCTAAGGTACACTTATCAACCTTCTGATCGGTTCTTTCATATTATACCTGATATTTTATGGATTATAACCGCTGATGATATTTTTGTCACAGAAGAAAGGCAGAGAATTGTTTTTTCTGCTATCATTTGAAAGATTCGTGTAACTCAATGGAAGAGTAGTGAAACGTAAAAGCCTTTCTTAATTGTAGAATTGGAAATTTGAGTTATTGATGGATAATAAACGAAGTAAGAGTAAGATTTTCACAGCAGCTTTATATAAAGTCATTTGAATATTTATTTATTCCGACGTTTCGAAAATTTGTATTTTCATTGTCAAAGAGTGTACAAATAGAATATTATGAACGCACAACAAAATGATTTTTCGTTCTATATATACATGACAAGGTAACGCTCGTCTCCACTCACTCGGTCCCTTGACTTTAATAACCTGGATCTGCGCTACTGAACGCCCTTTCGTGACCTTTAAATCGAAGACAATGCTCAACGCTGTGAACTTCTCTGCTTCCACGGAAAAACCATCTAATGTAAATAAAGCTAAAAGGTTCTCTGGACACTCTTTACGGATCCTAAGGAGATTGGAACTATTTTTAATCGATTCGCTATGATAGATTCTGTACACACTGTAAGTTACATTATCCGAAGCCGACTTTCTTTGTATTATCACAGTTGACTGCTATCTGGCGACATCTATCCGCGGCCTACAGAAAACGTTTGCTTGGCCTTTTGTCTCTTTGCAGCGGTAGATATTTCAGATCATCTCTTTGAATATTTTCTCCCTTCTGTAAAAAATAATTTTCTACTTCTCTCTGTTGTGATTCGCTTAACCATAGAATATCTAGCAACCATTTTTCCGTATTTTGCGCACACACAGACACATAGATACACAGACACACAGACAGACAACCAGTTTGTAAGACCCTAGACTAAAGTCAAGGGAAAAACAGAGATGAAATAGAAAGAAGAAGAAACATGGAGAAATACGACATGCTTTCTTTTTCGAAGAAGAAAATTCGTCTTCTTTCTATTTATCATGGTATAAGTAAAAACTGAAATTGAGTGAAGTACGTGAATGTCATGGATTGTATTGCATATAACTGTATTTACTACATAGATGTTATATGAACTTAGCCATTAGAATCAGGTACTAGATTTCTCGGGAAGCCTCCCGGATACACAATCATTGGTACTGAATGTGTAGTCAAATTCGGAGAAGGTTCATAAGCTTTAATTACTAATGACTCTTTTATGAGCAATCTGTATGGATTTCTATCACTCCATAGTATTTTGAAATTCATCCAATCAACCTTATGTCCAGTTTCAGATTCATGCTTGGCTAAAGCCGATTTTTCTTTTGTCTTTGGCCTTCATTTGTACCGTCACAATATAAAAAGGCAGCGTTAGCCAGTATGATACAACGAGCATTATCAATATGCACAGATTATGCTCTGCTCAATGAAGAGTTTAATCAAATTCGCCAAATAGCTAGACAAAATGAGTATCCTAGAGCGTTTGTTGATACAACAATAGGAATCGGTCTAAATAAATGGTATCAAAGACAAAATGAAGATTTAAAAGTAGATGCACCTAACGTATGTATGTGGAATTACCCTACGTTGGAAATTCCACAAACGTATTCTATAAGAAAATAAAACATCTGGCCGGTAAAATTCGTCCCGATATTGACGTATGGTTTATATTAAAACCTCCACTTCGGTCTCAAAATTTCTTTCAAATAAAAGGTCCCATACCGAAACATTTACAATCAGAAATTGTGTACTCTGCTAAATGCAGGGACTGTAACCATAATTATGTTGGAAAAACTGAACCTCAGAGTGTCAGAAGATTATGCGAACATGGAGCTTCGAAAGAAGTGTTTGATAAGTGTGACGTATATCCACTAGATACTGAGATAGAAGAAGACGATTCAGAATCACAAGATAGAGTTTGTCAGAGTCATTCTAAACGACGCACTATACCTATTCAAACTCAACCGTTGACACCTGGAGTTAGACGATCTTCTAGACTTCTAGCTAAAGCACACACTGTTGATAATCCAGTGATTAAGGCTGAATGCATGGACGAAAGCATGAAAGATACAAAAGAAAAATCGGCTTTAGCCAAGCATGAATCTGAAACTGGACATAAGGTTGATTGGATGAATTTCAAAATACTATGGAGTGATAGAAATCCATACAGATTGCTCATAAAAGAGTCATTAGTAATTAAAGCTTATATAAGTTTTAATTCTTCAAGCTGACACGGCACTTGAGTTATAATGATTATTTTGAGCGATCAAATGTGCGAGCATTGCTTTATTTCTGACAGTGTTGCTTTAAAGTGGATTATCACTATTTTTAAAGCTTGTTTTGAGCTGGTTACTTTGCTGTCAGTAAATAGGATACCGACTGATTTTCTTTAGAGACTTTTGCAATGTGCTTGTTTTTAGTTTATTACTTGCCTTCTCTGGAATGTCTTAAAATGAACATTCTGCCTTTTCGTTGATTTGCTTCAAATGAAGACAGTTCTCTTCGAAAAAGTGCATTCACATATGCGTTCCAACATTGATAGCTGTATTACTCCCTCCTTAAAAAGAAACATATTGCTCGAGCTGAATTGCGCTTAACTATTCTAGAATTTCGTTATTTGCTCTTCAACAGTTGCTGTGTGTTTCTTTTTTCTTTATAGAATAATAGCAGTGTTTGAACTTTAGATTTTGGAATTGTAATCGCGTAGCCCTCACAATTCTGCACTGAGAATACAGAAGGAAAAAGCAGGTTCAAACATTTGATACATTTCCTAGTTTCGATGATGACGAGACGAACACAAATGTTGTTTCACGTGAAGAAGAAAATAGTGAAGTAAGAGAACTGTGCTAAGACTCTGCTAGCTTTCTTTTCTTAGTTTCATGAGTTTTTTTCATTTAGAACGAAAGTGTAGATGAGAACGGACGAAGGAAATGAAATGTGGACTGTTCTACAACAAGAACTGTTTGGTAGAGGTAGAAACTCGCAAGCACTTATTGCACATAATAAGCGTACAAATTGTAATGCTGCTCATTTTGCATTATGTTATGATTATTATTTCATTTTATTTATTTAGTAATGTAGTGCTTTATTGCAAGCAACATCTGTCAGATAAGTTTTTATTTTTTCATTTTACTAAAAATAAGATGCTTTGTGGAATCTTTTTTTTCTCGTTTAGGTTGAATTGAACCGAATGAAAACGACGATGTTCCATTCTATTACTGATCCACTATTCCGGCTCGTCAGTATCACAGAAGCATCATCAACTTCTGCTCTGAATCACGATTAGACGAGAAGAATACCACAAAATTACTACGATTAATCGCTCAAGAATTAGATATGGTATGCGCTTCCTGTGCAAGTCTCCGCTTCTTATTAACGTTGTTTTTTGACTTTTATAGACAGACAATAGAAGTGACGGAATAATTGAATTTTTAAACGAATATCAAACTTCATACGAACACTTTTCATCGTGCAATTGTGCTGTGCTAAAAGAAGAAAGTCATATATCTACTAAATATTTTTTTCTAAATACTTTTCCAAAAAATGCAATTCAATTTAATCCATAGAAGAAATTATCTTCTTCCTTAAGTGTTTATTTAGAGAAAAGTTATGAATGAAAATCATAACAAGTTTAATTTTTAGACAAGTAAACAAAACACATGAAAGTGAAAAAAAAATTGAGAGAAGAAAAAATTGATAAGTTTGACAACAAGTAGTACACAAAAAATTAAGAATAACGATAATTGTTCTTTCATTTAATTTGCTACAGTTGGTCAGTTATAGGGATGTTCGGTTCTCGGTTCTCGAGTTAGAACCGAACCGAAAAGAACCGCGGTTCCGGTTCTCGACTTAGAACCGAAACAAAAAGAACCGCGGTTCCGGTTCCCGACTTAGAACAGAACCGCGGTTCTCGGTTCTCAGCTTAGAACCGAAAAAGAATTTTTCAAGCACTAACAATTCAACGAAATAAGATTCATTTTATAGTAAACGAAAGGATTCTTTTAAATGATGGCAGGCAACTATATCTTTTTGCAGTTTTGTCAATAGTGTGTTTTCATTTTATTATAAGAAAGGCAAGACAAAAAGATAAGGCAGAAGAGAAAAGAACAAATTATTGTTTCGCCCGTCGTTTTTGCACTTCATAAAGAAATACAAATTTGATCGTCCGTTCACAGTTGTTCTTTTTCTTTCAATGCTGTACTTTTCTATCGTCGGTTCTTAACAGTTTTAAGACCAGACGACCAGACAAACTATTAAGTTAACAGTTCACTCATTTTCTCGAATAACACATCTCTATCTTTGTTGAATCATGATTACTTTATCATATTTTTTTAACAAAACGTGGTAAAAGTAAATATCTCCGTACTCTGTCTACCAGAAAAAGAGAAGCTACTGGCTTAAAATCTGCTCTATTAACAAAACGATCGAAAAAAGTTAAAGAAACCAGTGGTGAAGATAGTTGAAGTGCAGCTGAGAATGATTCAAAGTATGTAAGTGCTATGCGCAAAGCTGATGTATGGGAATTTGCAACTCATAATGAACAAACAGGAAAAGGTGATTGTAAATTTTGTTCTCAATCGATTACTTAAGTGCGGGGTCCACAAGTGCTTGAAGGAAACACTTGAGAAAAAAACATAAAAAGCTTTTAGCAACCGAAAATGAAAATGTTCAGCCAAAAATTGATGAAACATTAAAAGGAAAAAGAAACGAGAATGCATGTCTAAGTATTAAGTCACCTGTACTGGATAATGCTGTCATGGCAGCAATTATCAAAGATCATAGAAGTTTTAATGATTTTAATCGAGAAGGTATGAAAATATTTGTTAAAGCTGCTGTTGGTAGTTATTCATGTCCTTCACGTTCAATTATTCGTACAAAATTAAAACGATTATATAAAACTGAAAGACAAAAGGTTAAAACATCATTGGAAAGTGTGAAAAGTTTAAGTATAACAACTGATGTATGGTCTAATAGAAAACAAGAAAGCTATTTTACATTAACCGGACATTATTTCGAAGATGATAATCTTGATCGAATTAAACATACAATATTGTCGTGCAAAAGTTTTAATGGAAGTCACACGGGTGATCGGTATGCATCAAAAATAAAGGAAGAATTAGAAAAATCAAATTTAGAGTCTAAAACATTTACAATGACAACTGGTGGAGCTGCGAACGTGAAAAATATGTGTACTATATTGCAGACAACAAATGGTATTAAACCAATTTATTGCGTAGCTCATGATTTACATCTAACAATATGTAATGCATTACGATTATGGCCAAAACAAGCCAAAAATAAGAATTATTCTGATGCTGTTATTGAAGCATTTCTATTAAAAAAGTAAGCTTATGTTCTTCAAATGGACGCTTGTCATGGACAAAAAAGTACAAAATGAATAAATTATAACAGACCAGTGGTACTTTCTTCTATAACTATCGAAAAACTTTGCTCCATCGTTTTAGAATAGCAAGTAACTCTGGAACAGATGATTTACAATATTCTACTGAATATTCTGACGATAATACCGATTTAGAACAAACGACGGAAGATGATAATCAAAATAAAAGTGGTTGTGAATCTAGTGAAGGAATAATGAATTCATCATCCACAGATTTTAGTTCGGTGTCCGATCATAATGAAGATAACAACAATGATCGCAGTAGTGAAGAAATAGAAATAACACTAGATGATGCCAGAGAAGTTATCACATCTATTACTAATGTTTTACTTAAATGTCGCAAACTTGTGAATCATTTTCGAAGATCCACTAAACAAACCGGATATACCGGAAAAAACGAATTGGTAAAACATTAAGATATCATTCATTAATTATTGATTGTCCGATACGATGGAACAGTTCGTTTTCGATGATCGACCGTCTAATTACATTAAAAAATCATATTAAGGCCCCCCTCCCCCTCAAAATCGAATCTCAGCTAAGGTACAGGCTATAAACGTGAAATTTTTCAGCATTTGTTGGTACTGATGAGAGGAAGCTGTGGTAAAATTTCCAGGTCTATATCATGTGTCTGAACGAAGATATTCACCAAACAAGGGTAAAAAAATAGCTCTTTTTCTCCGCCAGCTTTCTCCGTAAAACTTCATTGAGCATATAGATATTTTTTTTTTCTTTGAAAGAGCGTCAAAAACTGCAGGTCGTGTGAGAGCCCGTTTTTTTATAATGTTACTTGATATACGAAAAAAATCCATAGAAAGGCCAATGTCTCAAAAAAAAGTGCTTGAAAACACGAAAAAAGTGGATATATGTCTTTTTTTGTACTAAAATTGAAGCTAAATTTAAAAAAAGGAGCCTCAGTGTGCCTGTAGCTTTCGACGCTCATTCAAACAAAAGAAAAATATTGGGCATTGTGTTGTACTTTGGTTGAGTAATCTTGGAAATACGTCGTAAAACCCTGAGAAAAACGCAAATCAATTTTTTTTGAAAAAAAAAATTTCATGATGGTTAGTAGAAGTTAATGGAAATCATCAAAAATTTCGGTCAAAAATGGGATGCCGAAGAAAAAACCAATAGTGTTTCTGAAAGAGCAGAAGACGGGCTATCTCCCCATGTATTTATCTCGATTTCGAAATTTTTGACGATAAACTGACTTTTTTGAGGGGGAGGGGGGCCTTAATGCCATATTAAATGGAACAAATAAACAAAATACGAAAAAAGTCGCCAAAGTTTGTTTAACAACATTCGAATGGTCTATGATTGGTGATTTACATAAATTATTAAAACCATTCAAAACTGTGAGTATCCACATTTAACCTAATCCTTTCCAACAACTCTAGTGTAAATCTTTATCGCCTAAATCGATTTCTCAGTGAAAGGTATAATTTTTGAATGTTTTAGGTAGTTAAAGAACTTAGTGGATCTTATTATCCAACGTTGTCGAAAGCATATAATGCTCTACGAGCATTTCGGGTTTTATTAAATACAAGTGAATCAAATGATTCAGCTGATATGAAAGTAATGAAAAAGTTATTGTTAGCGTATTTGAACCATTATTTTCCTCCGAACGAAACAAATGAGCAGTATTGTTTAATGAGAGTACGTACAGCTCTTTATCCTCAATGCATGCAAAACATGTAGTAATACAATTTTCGTTCAGGCTTGTGCATATCTTGAACCAAAGCAACACTTAGCACTTACAAACGCAGACATCTTGAAAGCTGAACAATTTCTAACCGAACTATTTATTGAACAAAAATTTAAACCAATAATAAGTAACTGTGATGGAGATAAACCGACTAAAGATCGCCTAACTACTAGTAGAAATGAGTTATCTACGTTTGAAGATCTATTGATACAAACAGGTATCCAACAAGCTGACACAACACCACAGCCAACACATCCACTAATAAATGAATATGATAAATTCAAATTGTTATTAAAAAAGCAATCAAAAGAAAAATTAAATGGATTTTATAAAGAGAATGGACATTTATTGCCAAATATTCGAATGTTAGCAAAATGTGTACTATGCATTCCATGCACCAGTGTAGCTTCAGAGAGCGCATTTAGTATCTC